TGGCCAAGGACCAGATGTTCTTGTCTGCGCTGGCTTCTGCCATGATCTTGTCCCAGTGGGCCCTTTAACTTTTTTCGGACGATATATTTCAGGGTTTTTTTTTTTTGGCAGCCGTCCTTTCTGGGGAGCCGTTGGCGCTTCGTCCAGGGCCTTGTGGGCGGCCTTGCATTCCTTGGTCCACCGAGGAGCGCTGTGTCCGTTCTGATATCTTGTCTTGCCAGTGGCTTCCAGCACGTCTCCAAAGGGAGTTTGGAGGGCCTTGGTGCAGCAGTCTAGGTTGTCTTTCAAGGGTTTCTCAGGGTTGATCGTGGGAAGGGTCGATGCAAAAGAGCGCATCAGTTGTCCGAAGCTCTCATATTTGTTCAAATGGAAGGTGTTTCTTTCCGGCCCCTGGCGTGGAGCGGATGGGTTCAGGTAATGTAGTCATGACTCTGTAGTGGTCCGATCCTGTGTCCAGGGAGCGGTCCACTCTAGACGATGTAGAGCAGTTTGTGAAGACGAGGTCAATGCACTTCCCTGAGCCCCTCGTGGGAGAGTCTACAAGAGAAGGGAGGAGGTCGTGTTCGTCAGCTCATTCCGCTATTTTGTTGCCCGCTGTGTCTGGTTTCCTGCCCGGTTGCCAGGTCCAGTGGGTGGCATTGAAATCGCCTGCTATAATGGAGCGGGGTTTTTTGGGGGGGGGGGAGGGGGCGCGCCATTTGTTGAGGGTCTCTGTGGTAATATCTTCTGAGGCCTCCGATAGATGTTAACGATTGTGTAGCCGCAAACCTCCACCCAGCGCACGCACCATTCTCCAAGCCTGGAGGGGAAAGCTGTTTGCTGGGGAGGTTGGGTGAGATTCTAACGAAAGTGAGCACTGATGGTCCGGCGTCCCTCCAGTCGTTTAGGGGGTTATATGCTTGAAATCCAGGATGGTTTTCGGTTTGTCTCCTGTTCGAGGCCCTTTCCCATTCGGCGTAGTGTTCCTGGATAAGCACAATGTCGTAGCCACCTTCCCATGCAAGTGAGAGAGCGACGTCCTGGTAGGAGCCGATCTTCCCGACATTAGCTTGGAAGATTTTGAGGCCAGTGTTTCTTCGGCGGCTGCGACGGGGCCTATCACTCATAGGTCCGTCTCAAGGGGTTCGTCTTCCCCCGTTGGGGGCTTCGTACATGTCTTCGTCTTCCCCTGTGTCCGATCCGGCCACGTGGACTTCCGATTTGGCGGGGGAGCTTCTCTATCGGAGGGTCCTCCTCGTCCGTATCGACGTCGATTTGTGACGGTTTGGACAGGAGGGCTGGTTGGCGGCTGGGGGGCAGAGCTGGATAGTGGTAGGCGGACGCGAGGGCCCCCTTCGGGGGAGCGGCCGTCACCGAGGGCTCGTTTGTGCGAGTGACATTTTTGGTTGGGGGGCGCTTCGGCGAGTTGGTTTTGATGTGTTCCTGCTGTCCCAGTTCCCTAATCGCCTTGAGCTGGTCCTTGGTGGCATGGACCTTCTCCCGTCTTTAATGGCTGGCCTGGCTGGGCACTTGAGGGAGTCCGCCCTGTGTGGTCCGTTGCAGTTGGCGCATTGTGGCGGGGAGGGGCAGTTTGCTGGTGTCCTGGTGTTTGTCCGAGGGCTTGCCGCACTTGAGGCATCTTTCAGTTCTGGTGCAATTCCAGGGGTTGTGAAACCCAAGGCAGCGGTGGCACTGGGTGATCCTGGGCTTCTGGACCCAAGTTTCCGCCGGGTAAGAGTTGTTGAACAGTCTGAACCCGGGCTTGATATCCTCCCCCGGGCTTGATATCCTCCTTGAAGGATATGAAGTAGCAGCATGTATCTTGGGACTCCCCAAAGGGGCATTGTGGCATGCCACTGGGAGGCTTTTGGCCCCTGCCTATCCGCCATTCCGTCGGCATCCTGGACGTGCATTTGTAGCCGTTTCTACGATTGGCTAGATAGGTTCGTATTTCTTCCATGATCTTGGACCTTGGCAACTTGAGCAGCCTAAGCGAACATATTGGAAGACGTTAGGTGAACACCGATCGTATCTAAGCGTTTATATAGCTCCGGGGTGGCGATGTGAGATGTTTCCTGAGTTCTTCCAATGTTGCACGGCGGTGGCGCTTCTGACTTGAAGTTTGGACAAAGAGCTCACCGTTAAAGAAGGAAAAGCTACCCCCCCCCCCATCCAATCATTGCTCAGAGAGCTTGAGAGTGGGGGTTTAATCTTATCGCTGGCCGTTGACATGACCAAACTCAGAATTTGGAGAAAGCTTGGGAGGACAAGCGGGGAAAACAACCAAACTGTCAATGAAACTGTTGCTTTCTTCTTCTAGCTCTCAAAGTTCTGTCTTTTCAATGATTTTCGGTTATTGTAGCATATCCATCCATGTCGTCCTTTCTGTTCCGCCACGCCACCGCCGCCACCGCCGCCCGGCTGGAGCTGCTCGTGCATTGAGCACCACCGCGCCTCGCTCCTTTGCCCGTATCACCATTGTCGGCCACTTGGCTGATACGCCCGAGCCCCAGACCGCCGGCACCGAAGAGAATCCAAAAGAATACATCAGATACGCCGTAGCTAGCAACAGCGGGAGCAAGGACAACCGGCAGACAAGCTGGTTCCTCGTGACTGATTTCGTCATCGATGGTCCGCGCAAGGACTTTTTACTGAATCTGCAGAAGGGGTATGCTAGAAGTCTCTGTGGAGGATGTGGAGGAGAGGGCAGTTGCTGACATAAGTCCGACTCATTAGCACGCTGGTGTACGTCGAGGGTGATGCGTCCATCAAGCCTTACACCGATGCCAGCGGCCACACCAGACACGGGCTGAGCATTGTCCAGCGTAAGCTATCCTCTACTTCAAGATCGTTAGTTTTGCAAGCTCGGCAGCATACTAACTCAACGGGAAACCATATTGCAGGTAACATTGAGGTTCTGAAGCGCCCTTCGCTCCCCGAACAGGGCGAGTAAAAGCGAGACAAATGGGTCGGCAGCGACTTCGGGTTGGTCGGCATTTAGCAAACCAAGAGGCGGATAAACGCCCAATGCTTTGGTGTACAATTTGTTATGGTGGATGAACTTGCTAGCTTTATGCGATGTGCGCTCCCAAGGCCCTTTTCACAAACCTGGCCCAAACACCCCTTTTACCTTAATATCTCAAGATCGTCCTATTAACATTGACTTCTGAGACAATTCTGCGTAAAATGCCTTCACTTTTGGGTGCACAAATACCTTGTATGGGTCGAGGTTCAAGACCTGCAGGCCGTCAAGACTTGTTACGCGAAAGTGCAACATAAGTCTAACCCATCTCAAACACGCGATCTAAATCCACCTTCACTCGCTCCAGTGTTTGACCCTGGGCTTTGTGAATACTAAGAGCCCATCCAAGGATTAGAGGGACTTGAACACGAGTTGCCAGCTTCTCAACA